CAGTGAGACTCCGTCTCTTTAAAAAAAGAAAAAAGGAATGTTCACATTCCACATTGCTGTGGGGAAATCTCTTGAATGGTGCCAATCTTGGCTTCCACCCACCTGGCAAACCAACTTAACCCACACCAGCCAAACCAACAGTTAAAGATAATTTAGCAGGAACAAATGTAAGGCAAACAACTTCAGGCTTTCAGGGACAGAACAAAGTTCTCCAGTGGATCAATAACTAATTCAAGGTAGTGGGCATAGCACTCTGGAGTGGCAGCCGGTCCTCAAGTAAGACTGCAGCTGTAAACTCTCTACCTCCCCACCCTCGGCCCTACCGGTTTGTCTTTGCTCCTCCTTTTCTTTGCTCTTCAGCTTCTCCCCTCCACCTCCTCAACTTCTGTTCTACAGTCACGTCCTCTTTTTCCTGACCTTCTTTGTGGCTGATACAGGCTTCAAAACCTGAAAAGCAAACAGATGCTCCTTAGCACCTAGCTGAGAACATTTGAGCTCGCTAAGAAGGCCCTTCAAAACCTCATTCAAAAGAGGAACAAGAGAACAAGTATTTCCATCTGGATCCGTCCTAAGGCTGTTCTCCCTGAAGTAGTGTCGGAGCGGTTTCCGACTCTCCGAAGCTCGGCTTGTCTGCCTTCGCCCAGTTGAGAAACCCATCGTGGATTAGAAACACCTGGTCATTACAGACACTGGAATCCCTTGATTCCTCTTGATGAATTTGGGGTGAATGGAGATGATTTGTGGAATCAGTTACCAATGTTTAAAAGGGCAGTAGCCGCCGTGGCGATTTAGAAGTTCTTGTTCCTATGAGAAGTTCTTGAGAGGGTTAAATAAAAACGCAGCGCCCAACGTGGGGCTCGAACCCACGACCCTGAGATTAAGAGTCTCATGCTCTACCGACTGAGCTAGCCGGGCACTGGCTATAGAGCTCTTCCTATATGAAACCATTTTCCTCTAATAGACAAGGGGTATGATCTACTTGCATATTATCTTGTGTGAAAGCAGTTTCAGGATCTAGGATTGGGGGACACAGCAATAATCTTTTCATAATAGCTTTCTGCCACAGAGGAACCCAAGGTTTAGAGAGCGATGGGGGGTGCAGAGAGCCAGGAAGGCTCGCAGAGGAGTCGGGAATCGGGAGTCCTTCCCGAAACCTCAGTGTTTCCGCAGATTCCTTCTATGGAGGGAACCTCCTCACCGACTGCAGAGGAGATTCAGATAAGATGCGCAAAGACCTCTCTGCAAAGCTTTTTAGTTCTGGAAGAGGCATTGAGTTCCAGCGTTACCAGGGAAGGGTTCTTTCCTCTGCTCAAGTGAAGGCCGTGGTCCCAGCTCCGTGGACCTCCATACGGCTCTGAAGCGTCCCGCCTGCGCTGCTTAGCGTCTTGGTGGACGAGCCGCAGTGAGAGCCAATTGGAACTACTGTTGTTTGAGACAGGGTCCCGCTGCGTTGCCCAGGCTGGAGTGCAGTGGCGCGATCATAGTTCACTGTAGCCTCCACTTCCCGGATTCAAGCGATGCTCCCACCTCAGCCTCCCTGAGTAGCTGGGACCAAAAGGGCCCGCCACCATCTTAGAAATCTTTTTTTCCTAAGGGTGTGGGGGAGGCTTCTCAGGCTGGTCGCAAACTCCTGGGCTCCACAGATTCTCCCGCCTCCATTTACCAAAGCTGCTGGGATTACAAGAGCGAGCCACCACGCAGGCCTGGACCTATTGCTATTCACCGAATTTGCTGACTACACTCCGCGGGAATGCCGTAAGCAAAGGCAGAATTGCAAGCTTGTTAAAAGTGTTAATTTAAAAATAAAGTAAAATAAAGCAAAAGAAGGCCACCTAACCAAGTTACAATCACATGCCGTGACTCGGATTCGAACCGAGGTTGCTGCGGCCACAACGCAGAGTACTAACCACTATACGATCACGGCGAGCCACCGGCAAGGCAGCGCACTACAGCTGAATTTAATGCCTCTTGAAATAGGAGTGGCTGCTTCGTGATGCTTTTATTTGTCCAGTCCGTGAGGTCCACGTCAATTAGAATTCCAAACTTTTCCACTCTGCAACCTCGAAGCTCCGACACCCGAATCGGGTTCTTAGACTCTAAATCCCTCAATGCCAGCGGTAGCACCACCCGCTCCGCCAGGGGGCGGCGCGCCCAGGTCCTGACTAGAGGGCAGAAAGCATCCGCTGCAACCCGGGACCAGGGACCACGTAGCCTCGCGCCTCGCCCCTCGCCTCTTCCCCCTCCAAAGAATCAAGCCGCTTCGCCCAGGGATGCGAGAGGCAGGCTTGAAGGATTTTCCAGATTACATCTGCAACCTGTGCCATGGAACTGAGGTTTCTTTTCCCAGAATAGTGGAACCGGAAGAAAAACGGAGCTAGTGATCTGGGGAGGGGATGAGAGCCCGGTCCTAATTTCTTGCTTTCCTCCCAAGTACAAGAAGCGCTGTGTACTCTCCATGGCATTGTCGGCGCCTGTGCTGACTTCCTCATCTTGACTCCAGTATATCAGAGCCACCTCCTCAGATTCAGAAAAACAAACCCAAACAGCCTCTATTTCAGACACTTAACAGTTACTGTTAACTCATGAAACGCCAGCGACGGCACCCATCAGAAGGGCTTGGCTCGCAGGTGCAGTTACCAAAATACGAATGTTTGCTATGGTAGGGATAGACCATACTGGTGCAGGAGACTCAAGACACAAAAGTGTCCTGAAATATATTTCAGCCTTTGTTCTCTGCTTTGCTCGGTTTCCAGGCCTACTCCGTCAAAAACTGGGAAGAAAACGCGATGCTGCGTTGGCCGGGAATCGAACCCGGGTCAACTGCTTGGAAGGCAGCTATGCTCACCACTATACCACCAACGCATCTAAAAACCAGCTTGCTTTATTGACTTATAACAACTACATAGTCTCCTGCTGAGCAGTCTAGAAAAGAAGGGAGAAAAAAAAAAAAAAAAAAAAAAAAAAAAAAAAAAAAAAAAAAAAAAAAAAAAAAGAACTACATAGTCAGCTTTTGGCTTTCCGTTTATTTCTACACCAAGAGAGATTTAGACTACAGGAAAAACCCACAGGAGGGAAATAAAAGGAAACTCTCTAGAATTTCTCCTATTGACAATTCTGTAGTAGTATCTTGTTTCACAGGTTTAAGAAAAGTCAATTCTAGTTTCTTCTACCATCACTTGAAGGGAGCCTCTGAAATCCAATGGTCGAATTAAAGCACATACCTTTTGAACCACCATTCCAATTCCTGGGCATTTATTCCACACATGCGCAAAATTACATATGTACAGGACCATTCATGACAGCATTTTTTTTTTTTTTTCTAGTAGCAAAGGGTTAGAAATAACCTACATATCTACAGAAAGAAGCTGGCTAAACTAATTATGTAAAATATAATACAAAGAATGCCAGGTGCCAGAAGAAAGAATGAGGAAGTTCTTCATGTCTAATCTGTAAGTATTTCTAAAATATACTGCTAAATGAAAAAGGCAAAGTGCAGAAAGTGTGTATAGATTACTTCCATTTGCACAAGCGGGAGAGAATGTTTATATATACGTATTTATATATGCATGTACTTACATTTGCATAAAACATCTCAGACATTATAATTAAAAAACAACAGTGGTTACCTCATTAGAGGGAAAATAGATGGTAAAGGTGAAGTCACCTTTATCAGTTCTGCCCTTTTGCATATTTGAATCCTAAATCATGTAAATATATTACCTTTTGGAAAATTCAATAACTGAACTGAAAGAAAATGTTACTGAAGGATAATTTCCACTGCAAAGTGTTAGAAATATATTGTTAACCTTAAAAATAGCTGGTGTTGGCCAAGCGTGGTGGCTCATGCCTGTAACCCTAGCACTTTAGAAGGCAGAGGCAGGTGGACCACCTGAGGTCAGAAGTTTGAGACTGACCTGACTACCATAGTAAAAACCCGTCTCTACTAAAAATACAAAATTAGAAGGGCGTGGTAGCACATGCCTGTAATCCCAGCCACTTCGGAGGCTGAGGCAGGAGAATTGCTTGAAACCGGGAGGCAGAGGTTACAGGAAGCCAAGGTCGTGCCATTACACTCCAGCCTGGGCAACAAGAGCGAAACTCGGTCTCAACAACAACAAAAATAGCTGGTGATAAAACAGCATGTATAGCATACTTCCACTTTGTTTCAAAACCTACATATTAAGAGTGGCCTTTGGGTGACAGAATTGTGAGCAATTTCTTTATCTTTTTCCACATTTTCTGTATTTCAGTTTTCAGTGGGATGGGGAAACTGACTAACAGATAACAATGTTTGTTTAAAAGATCCTAAGAGAAAGCAGAACAAAATAGAACTCGTTCCCTGACCGGGAATCGAACCCGGGCCGCGGCGGTGAGAGCGCCGAATCCTAACCACTAGACCACCAGGGACGTTGCTGACAAGTCCCTGTTAAGACTACATGATTCTACGAGGTGCAGTGGTTCATGATTGTAATCCCTATACCTTGAGAGGACAAAGTGGCCAGCTTTTTTGAGCCCAGGAGTTTGAGACCAGCCTGGGTAATGTGGCAAAACCCTGTCTCTACCAAAAGTACAAAAACATTAGCCAGGTGTGGTGGCCTGTGCCTGTAGTTCCACCTACTCGGGAGGCCCAATCTCTTAAGCCCAGTAGGCAAGAGTGCAGTGAGCTGTTTTGGCGCCACTGCACTCCAGCTTGATGACAGGGCCAGACCCTTCCTCAAAGAAAAAAAAATTATATGACTCTAACTAAATGTTTATTTCCACTTATTCTTTTTCATATGATTTTTCACTGCCTAGATCCTCAGTTTCTTGAATACTCGGCCTTTCTTTTATTGGGACTTCTTCCTGGTACTTCTTTCCTGGAGTAGAAAACATTGTGAAAGAATTCTCCAGCCTGGCTCTCAGAGCTGAGGGAACATCGCATACACGTGATTACAGTCCCCAAGACCAGAGACGAATGTCCAGAGGGAAGAGGAAGAGATAGAGAAAAGCTCACCTCCTTGTAGTTGCAGTGATTTCCTGAACTGTGATCAGTAGAAAGGTGGAGACTCAGCTGCTTCTTTGCCAAAAACAGCTAGAACATTTCCTTAAGGAATACAGAAGACATCATGTGAGTACAGGAGACCCTGGGCCACTCTACCTTTTTTTTCATGTTGTGTGAATGTAGACCAAACTGTTAAAACAAATATGATAGACAGGTGAATCACAGCCTACAGGTATTTGGTGCTCAGCAGGATCTGAACTTAATCACTAGCAGAAGACTAAGAGAAGCTCATCCCATTTTTCGGCACTTTGGGAGTCTGAGGCGCGTGGATTACCTGAGTAGTTCAAGACTAGCCTGGCCAACATAGTGAAACCCTGTCTCTACTAAAAATACAAATTAGCCCGCTGTGGTGGCGCCAGCCTGTAATCTCAGCTACTCGGAGGCTGAGGCAGGAGAATCGCTTGACCCCAGAGGGCGGAGGTTGCAGTGAGCCAAGATCGAGCCATTTCACTCCAGCCTTGGCAACAATACCAAAACTCCGTCTCGAAAAAAAATAAAAATAAAAATTACGGGGGAAAAAAAGAGGTAGTGAAGAGAAAGAAAATTGAGGTGCATGCATTAGTGTGTTGCAAATTACTTTATGATCAAGAAAAGAAAGCAAATGCGGGCTGGATACAGTGGCTCAAGCGTGTAATCTCAGCGCTTTGCGAGGCTGAGGCAGGTGGATTGTTTTGAGCTCAGGAGTTTGAAAGCAGTCTAGGCAACAGGGTGAAACCCTGTCTGTACCAAAAATACAAAAAGAAAGAAAAGAAAGAAAAATGTTAGTGAATTGTATTCACTATATTGTACTTTCAGCTTTTCTGTAAGCTTGAAGTTTAAAAAAATAAAAGGTTGAGAAAAAAATGAAACAAGCAAAAGCCTCCCCTCAGGTCTTTTTTGGTCAGATGACCCCAAGTGATTAATTCTGTGCCCATGAGTTCAAGCAGGAATTTTTTCTTCT